AAAGAAAGGGGAAGTGTGGTCAGAAACAAGGATGGCGGTGGAGGAAAGAGAGCTGGCGGGCCTGTCGATTAGGGCAGAAAGAGGAACCGGAGAGGCATTTCGAGAGCCTGTGTGCAGCTCTAAGTGGTTAACCTCCATTTTTCTTGACAGTCACTTCTCTGCTAGAGTCAGCATTCATGCCTCCAATACTTTTCTCAGTTTCCCACCCAGCCCCATGGAGTCCTGACCAACCCTATTCCGTGACTGTTGTGTGGGTGAGGGTAAAGGGGGGATCCTACCCTGCTTCCAGTGGGGAGACCTGTTCCTGGCACCCTGCATAGAACAGTCAGCGGACATCCTATCCCTTGAGAATGCTGTGGATTCAGTAACTCTGGTGGCCTGGGTCCAACTCCAAGCACCACAAATAACATTGTTATGGAAGCCCCAACAGTAACACAACGAGCTTTGGGACTGCCCTGAGCATCCACGCTCTATGAGGGGGTAGGTGTGTCTCAGATCTTCAGAAACACCATGCTGTTTTCCGTTGCAGTCTGGTTGGAGCTCCCCAGCTAGGACAAAGTGTCTGCTTTCCACTGGAGAGGGCCGTAAATAGCATTCTCTTTCATTCTAAAAAATTTATTTATTTTTAATTGAAGGATAATTGCTTTATAATATTGTGTTCATTTCTGCCATGCATCAACATGAATCAGCCACAGGTATACATATGTCCCCTCCCTCTTGAACCTCCCTAAAATGCTTCATTTCAAATGCTATAAAAATATAATCCTTTAATTTCTAAATGTACAGTTATAATCTTTGATAATTATTACTCAAGAACAGTTATGTTTTATGAGTGTTGTTCAATTGCTGTCACCAATAGAACGACACTCAGATGCGTCCATAGCCTTTTGAAGAGGTCAGAGAGAGAAATCAATGACAGCTTTAGTGAAATCTATTGCCAGGATGGAAAGTTGTAGCAGCCAATATTTTCAAAGATATAAATGCTCAGAAATGGTCTCTTTTCAGTACTTTTATACGAAGCAAGATTCACACGAGGGCAGGGAATGACGCTGTCAGAAAGTGGCCCTGCATGTGATGGGTGGGTAGATGTCTCAAGAACACCAGGTCATCTTTTATTTCTACCCAAACTGCTCTCCAATTGATAGGTCCCCCCTCACCTGTTAAGTACGTGGGCTTCCCAGGTGGCGCGGTGGTAAAGAATCCAATCCAAAGCAGGAGATGCAAGAGTTCCATTCCCTAGTCGGGAAGATCCCCAGGAGGAAAGGGCAACCCATTTCAATATTCTTGCCTGGAGAATTCCCATGGACAGAGGAGCCTGGCGGGCTACAGTCCATAGGATCGCAAAGAGTCAGACACGACTGAGCACACACAGACATGCTGGTCCCTAAAGATCTCAAGAATTACCTCCCATCTTCCCATCTCAGGATTTCTCTGCTGGGAGGGGGGCAACCTGTGGTATAGGGACAGACATTTAAGAAGATAGTTCATTCTGCTTCCAAATGTGTTGGGGAGGACTACTGAAATTCAAGAGAGCCCTTCTAAGCTGACAATGGACGATCGCAATAAAACCTGACAAATTTCGGGCAATGAAAAGATGGAGAAGCTACTACCTGTGTTATGTGATAGCTCCAGTAAACAGGTTCTACTTCTGGCTGGATACAACAGCCAAAAGCAGATAAAATTGTGTGTTCTGTGCACTAAGAACACTTGCTAATGCAAAGCATTTTGCTCCTTTTTTTGATGGAAAGATACAGCATGATTCAGTTCAGTTCAGTTCAGTCTCTCAGTCATGTCTGATTCTTTGCGACCCCATGGGCTGCAGCACGCCAGGCTTCCCTGTCTGTCACCAACTCCTGGAGCTTGCTCAAACTCATGTCCATTGAGTCGGTGATAACATCTAACCATCTCGTCCTCTGTCATCCCCTTCTCCTTCTGCCTTCGATCTGTCCCAGCATCAGGGTCTTTTCCAATGAGTCAGTTCTTCACATCAGGCGGCCAAGGTATTGGAACTTCAGCTTCAGCATCAGTCCTTCCAATGAATATTCAGGACTGATTTCCTCTAAGTTTGACTGGTTGGATCTCCTTGCTGTCCAAGGGACTCTCAAGAATCTTCTCCAAGACCACAGTTCAAAAGCATCAATTCTTGAGCGTTCAGCTTTCTTTACGTTCCAACTCTCACATCCATATGTGACTACTGGAAAAACCATGGTGTGATTACAGAAATCTAAATACCCTGAAAGAAAATTGCTATCTTGCTTGATCCCCTCACCCTCTCCTGTCTGAACCTCACGGGGAATAGTGATCAGGTGGCGCTGTGGTTTAGATAAGAAGTGAGAACTGGTGGGCAGGAACTCATGTATGTGGAGTGATGGTGATGGTGGGGAGGCAGCAGACTAGCCAAGCTGGATGAGCAGGGTATTTGGAAAGCATGAGTGTTCAAATAATCAAAATGGAGAGTGTGAGCAGGGGCGAAAAGAATCAAGCTCAACACTGGAGGGTTACAGAGCAGTCTAAGGAGACAGAGAATTCTGCTGGTTCCCCAAAAATGTGTCAGAGAGGAAACGCCTAACATTCTCCTTGACCTCATTTAAGAGGCCTTGCTTGGCGTATTGTATTCCATCTCTGGCCCCTCAACCCCTATTAGGAGGAGGATGTTTGTCAATTAAGAGCAAAGGAAAAAAAAAAAAAGTAATTTCTACAGCCCAAGGAGGATTAAGCACAATCTCGTTATATAATGTTTTAATTCCCTGCATTCAGAGAATGAATTCAGGCCTGGTCCCTTCCCCGTGAGGGGTGAGATCAGGATCTAGTGATGGTGTGAGTCTGGGGGGAGTCGGGAGGGTGACCAACACAGGGATGAGAAGAGTCAGTTTCTCCTCTTCATCCCCAAGGGTGGTCCCTAGTGGTCCCTCCCTGCAAAGCGCAAGGATCTGATGTAGAGATAATTTCTAAGAGGACCAAAATGATTTTATTCACACGGCCCTGTGAACTGGATAGCAGGTATCCTATTGCTTCACACGGGGCAGCCTGGTGAATGGATGACTTGGTTGCTACTCAGTTTCATATAATAGCAACAACAGTAATAGTAACAGTGATACTATTAACCACAGCCCCTTTAGTATCTGCCAAACGTCAAGCACTGTGTTGGGAGTTCTCCATCTAGGATTAATTGTAACACTGTTCGGTGAGCATTGCAGCCCCCACCTTCCATAGGAGGGAACTGAGACCAGGTCAAACAACCGTATGTGACTCTAACTCAGCCTCTGTCTAATTAAAAAATCTCTTTTCACTGTGCATTAAAGTCAAGCAGAAAATTGAGGAGGTGTGATTGAGGAGGTGTGCAAGGATCTGAGAAAAGCAAAAATGCACTGGAATGTATGGGGAGATTAAATAACAGGCACAAAAGCTCTAAGCTCTGCCCTGAAGCCGAGCAGTAAACATCATCATTTTGATCATTCACAATTGGAGAAATTTCTACAGAGAGTCTGGGTGGTAGGGAAGTGCTTAGATGGCGAAGGAGGGCGGGAGTGGTTGGAATGGATCAGGGTGGGCAGTGGAGGCCAGTGTCTGCCTTTCATTCTAGGCTTGTCAACAGCAACCTCCTCCCTCCCTCCACCAGGGTACAGTAGATCATTCTGGATTTGGAGTGCCTGATGAGGAAAGGGAGAGATCAAAAGCACTGGAAGTGTTGGAATGTTTACATCCAGGCTCTCCAATAAGTACCCTGTCTGAAGTGGAAGGGACTCAAACTCAAAGCTTTAATTAAACGAGGTGGAGGGAGAGAGAGAGAGAAGTGGGACACAGTTACGGATGTGCATAGCCATCTCCTCCCTGGGAGGGGACAGCCACATGTCTACCCTCCCGAGGGTGTGAGTAACCTGAGCCCTTTCCTTCTGAAGTTCCAGCAAGCCTGCACCACCTATTAACTGTCTTGGGTGTGACAAAGCACTCCTGCCACTGACATCAATCAGAATAGCCGCCCCCTCATGCATCCTTCACACTTCCTTTATGTTCTAGGTTTGATGATCCATGGGCTCCCCTCATCACTTCTGCTGAGATGATGACTGAATGCTTCCATTTACCCATGCACATTCTTAATCTGTTAGTTCCCCATCCTCCCATCCACCGTGTGATGGATGCATCTGCTGATGGGCTGTACTGAGTCCAGAAGTATTGGTGTTTGGGTAAATGTCACACACAAGCTGAAGGCACGTTTGGTCCCTCCCGCTGCATCCAGCCCCCAGATGTGTCATATTGAGTCGTAGGAAATATAACCCTCTGCCCCCAGACCAAAAGCAGAGTTCCTACCATGATGTAGCCCAAAGACTCAGGTGCAACACAAGTCTTAAAATATTCCATTGGTAGGTGATCAGACCATTAAACTGTAATTGGGTTGTTATAATTATTGAATATTCAACAGCATTATTATAGTGGAAGTTGTGGCTCTCACATTTTATATTTCATACGGGATCAGATTAGTAGCCCATTTGGTCTCTGGGCATTGAATAATAGCTGCCAGTCTTAGGAAGGCATCCACTTCAATTAAAATCGCGGGGTGAGCAGTTTGATAGAAGTGTGGACAACTTCCCTAATGGAAAATGGAAATTTATATGACATTGTTGCATAGATACCTGGAAATGACAGCTGTGAAAGGCCTTTTAAAAACCAAAGTCCTACTTTTGACCTGTACAATGCAAACAAAATAATAACAGTTACCATAAAATTTTTCTTATTTTGAAACAGGCTGTATTGGAGGGATGAATATATAAATACCTGAGGTAGAATTTTCTTTCTGTTTAGATCTATGTAAACAGATGAACAGGCACTTGGGGAACTGGGCTAACTAATTAGGTGTTGGCAGGAATTTATGGAATCATGATGATTTTTACTGCAACTCCTCTTGATTTTAGCAGAGAACCCACCCATGTGGGAAAGCTGAAATAACACATTGAATGAGAGATAACCTCTCCTTTTCCTTTCGTGTTCTCCTTTGTTTTCAGAGCTCTCTTCACCCTCAAGCCATTGAAAAGCCAAGATGTTGGTGTTACTGGCGAGTATCTTTGTGGTCCACATTGCCACCGTCATCATGTTATTTGTTTCTACCATTGCCAACGTGAGTCCTGTTCTTTTCTGTTCATTCATTCATTGGGAAGTTATTTGAATATTTACACAAAGTGCTACAAAAGATGTTTAAGCCATTGTGAATTTACAGCTTAGTTGTGGAAAAAATTAAACACATACTTGCACTTCAAACCACTAAATATTAATAACAAGTGTCTAAATGAGTGATCTTGCCAGGTTGGAGGATACAGCGAGGCTTCTCAGGGAAGGTGGAGCTTGGAGGATGGGTAGATGGGTGGGGTTTCTTTCTGCTAGAGATGCAGAGTGAAAGGAACTTGGGAAGCATTCCAGGAGGTGTGCCCAGCCAGGGAGTACAGGTGAGAGGGACAGGCTTTGTTCAGGACACAATGAAGACACCATGTGGCAGGCCAAACTCCCTTCTGGGATCCTTGATTGGAAGGAGAAATGCGAGTGAGATGATGAGATGCTTTGGTGTTCCGACCAACAAATACAAGTTCTGAGCAGAGAGTAACATGTGAGAGTGGAATTATGCAAGATTAACCTCGTTTGCCTGAATTAACATCAACAGCAAAAAAACACAAACTAAAAATACAGAGTAAGCCATAGACTCTTTGAATCTGGGGCTACTCTGACCTCTAGTGGTAGTTTGCAGAGTCCAGTATGCTTTTATTGTGCTTTTCTCAGAAAAAAAACCAAAAACAAATCCAAGACAACTCCTTGGACCTAAAAACCAAGGCCATGCATCACTAGATAAACAGGTATGATCCCAGAATCTCTGTGGGTCCCTGTTACAGTTGAAGGATAATGAGTTTTAAATTTCAGAGAGGAGTTTCGCCAACATTGGTGGGTACGATTATAAGCAAGATTCAATGAAACATCACTGTGATGACCTACTCCTCGCCGTGTGGACTCCTCCAAACTTGGATTTAGCAGTTCTGTTCTGTACACACCTCCCCCACCCCCCCAAGTCTCTCAGTTTACCAGGTCCAATAAATGGCTTCTAACTATTTTAGTGGATGCCCCGTGCTGAAATCTGAATTATCAGCCTCTAACATGGGGCTGAACTCACAGCTGTTTATTAAATCAAGAGCAGGCAGGCGACTGGACATCCTGGCCCTGCTTTTCCAGTAACTCGCATTTGAACAGACACTGTGTAGACAGGGCTGGGTGTTTGTCTTTCATCCCAAAAGGATAACTGTTTCTCTTGGGCCTGGAAGGAGGGGGTGCTGGCATAGTGGTGAACCTCGGTGAATACATTTTGGTTGTTTTTTCTCCTTTCAGCTGCCCCCACAGGAAAGCTCTGACTGGACTATGTTATTATGAAATTACTTTTCATGTTGTGACAATCAAGGTTTATCCTTCTATTTAGATGAAAGTGGCTTATTGATCTCCCCGTCTCAAGACCGTTTTCTTTGCTGCTTTCTTACTTTTTTTCCAGTTGAACATTTTTCCTTAACTTTTTTCACCTTCTTTGCCAGGCCCTTTATTGGAAACAATCTTGGCAGGGAGTATGAATTGCACATCTTTAAAATCAATTTCCTCATGCAGGGTTTCCGTTTCTTAGAGCCTTAGAATGATTAAAAAAAAAAACAAAAACCAAAAAACAAACCCCAATGGTTGAATTACGTCTTTACTTTTTCAGTAATGAGAGATGTGAAGTCCAGAGAGTGAGGTAACTTCTCCTCGGTCATACATTCTTCCTCTCGTTTTTTCTTGGGACCTCTGTGACTTCAGTTTTAGCAAGACATTATTTCCACCTAGAGATGAGCTTTTTAGCCCCATTTATGGCTAAACATGGCATCTTGCATAAGATTTAGTCCAGACACAAGCTGATGGTTGTTTCTTTTTCTTTCAAGCCAGGGAGTTAGTTTTTAAACAATTTTTAAAATTTCTTTTTAAATTTGTATTGGACTGTAATTGATTTACTGTGTTGTGTTAGTTTCTGCTGCATAGCAAAGCAAATCAGTTATACATATGCACATATCCACTCTTTTTCAGATTCTTTTCCCACCTAACAGGAGTACTGAGAAGAGTTCCTTTATGTCTTTTTGATTTCAGGTCTGGGTGGTGTCAGATTCCGGAGAGGAATCAGTAGGTCTCTGGAAAAACTGTACCATTGGTGGCTGTGCTGACCTTTCCTACGCGGGTGAAGGTACGTGCAAAGATATTGTGCCCAGTGCCCCTGAGGAAATGCCAGCCCCTTGGGGCCTGGGTAGTCCTCACCCCCCTGCCCTCTGTCCACAGATGCCCTCAAGGCCGTGCAGGCCTTCACGATCCTGTCTATCATATTCTCCGTCATCTCCCTTGTGGTCTTCGTGTTCCAGCTCTTCACCATGGAGAAAGGCAACCGCTTCTTCCTCTCCGGGGCCACCATGCTGGTGTGCTGTGAGTATCAGCTTTCTCGGAAAAAGCTTTCCTGTAGATCTCACCCTGGGGGTTCTCAGTGGCTTGAACAGCTGAGCACTAGGGGCAATGGAACTGCCTTGTACAATTTACTGGCTTGGTCATTTGTGCTCTTGGGGAGAACCCCTGATAGCTGCTTGAAATAAGAACCCTCATTGGCCTCACTGTTTAAACCTGGGGCTCCTGGGCAGATACCAAGTAGCCGGGGTCTGCCCAGCTGTAGCGCTTGTATGGGTTCGTGCTGTCATATCCGACTCTGTGACCCCATGGGCTGTAGCCTGCCAGACTCCTCTGTCTGTGGGATTTTCCAGGCAAGAGTACTGGAGTGGGTTGCCATTTCCTTCTCCAGGGGATCTTCTTGACCCGAAGATTGAACCTGTGTCTCCTGCATCGGCAGGTGGATTCTTTACCACTGAGCTACCTGGGAAGCCAGAGCTTGTATACAGGATAGTTGAAGGGACAGGGGATGTGGGAGTCCTTAGATGAACTTGCTGATGGCCATTCCCTCTCTCCCAATGCACACAGTTTGATGGAAGGTGTGTTCTTTTGCATCCCCCCAGGGCAACCTGTCCCTGTGTGCTGGGGTCTAGGTGGGAAAGCCAGTGGAAAGGAGGGGGGAAGACCAGAGAAGCTGGGTTTTACTTCACAGCCACACAAACCAGTGCCGGTGTGAGAACTCTGTACAATGGTACAGCAAGATAACCATCAAGCCTGGTTCAGGGCCAATCAACAGAACCACCGCTGGGGACCAAATTTCAGATTTCATTTTCCCATCACCCACGAGGAACATAGGATCTTTCTAAAGTTATAAATCTTTTTCTCGCTTTGAATGTTAAGAAATCAAACCAACAGTGAATCATTTCTCCCCACGGCAGGGCTGTGCGTCATGGTGGGGGCCTCCATCTACACTCATCACTATGCCAACAGCTCTAAAAACCAGTATGTGGAGAGTCACCACGGCTATTCCTTCATCCTGACCTGGATCTGCTTCTGCTTCAGCTTCATCATCGGCATCCTTTATCTGGTCCTGAGAAAGAAATAAGGCTGAACACATTTACTGGGGACCTGGGGGGTGGGGAGGAGGGAGCCCTTGAATCTGGGAGGGGAGTGGAAGTTGCTAAGCAGGAAAAACCAGGAGAGGGAAGGGGGGGGAGGGGATGGAAGGGGGGAGGGGCTGAAACCCAAATATGATGGAGGGGGTCCTGTACTGTCCAGCCCCTGCCCTGGGAGAAAGCCGTTGCCTGGGACGGGTGCTCCCTGGATGTGGGCCAGGGGGCCTCCCTCCGGCCACCGGGCTTGGCCTCCAGCTGTTCTCCGTTACACACACTGCCTGGGGCCCCAGCAGCTGCCACATCACTGGCTCCACTTCCGAGGGTGAATTCAGTCTTCAGACCCACTGCACCCAGTTAACGCAGCGGTACAAGTTCCGGCCAGGGCAGATATTGGAATAAGCCCAGCCTGGAAGCCATCCCGCCTCTCTGACCCAAAGCAAAACATCACCATGTGAAGGGCTCGAGGGAGGACTTTGGCCACTGTGCCACGATCCCTCTTTGTTAAGCAGAGAGTTAACTCTGTGGTATTTGTGACAAAATGGGAAGAAGAGACATAGTGATTAAGGCCAAGTTGGTGGCTTAGCTAAACTGAGAAAGAAATTTTCACAGTGGAAAGCCTGGGGTGTGGTCAGAACCCAGACCAGGCCTCACAGAGCTGTCCGTTGTGGAGACCTCTTGCCACGGACTTTGCTTGGTCTCTCGCTTAAAGCCACGGCAGCACTCTGGAATTTCTGTAAAGCCACTAACAACTAATTCAGCGGTGGGAGCACCACGCAAATTATGGGAAAAGGGGGCAGTCCTACAGCAGGATTATACTAGGGTTATGTTATTAGGAACCTCTCTCTGAGCAATCAATATTTAAGTATAAGATGTGAGAGAGATGGATATAGATCCTTGCAACTCAATCTGTTACTCTCCCCCTAAATTATACCCTTTTGAGGAAGTTTTATCTATTTAGCCAAGTTGGGGATCAGGGCTCCTGGGCTCACAGATGGCTCTAGCTTTGAAATGAGCTGAAGGGGTCGCCTTTCAGAAGTCCTGCCTGTCCCACAATACAGATGAGGCAAGGCATTTTGGAAGCTTCTTAAAACACATGCAAACCAAACCACACATCCTTGGGTGAAAGGTGCTATACAGTTGTCAAGTATTAAGCATACTAGATTTCAGTCACAGTAAGAACAGAGTGTCTGTACTTCCAGGAAAATAAGAAAATTTCTGTGAGAGAAATAAAAATATAGGTGATGGGCAGATATTTTAAGGGAAAAGCAAAAACCCCTAAAACTCTTGTGGTGCCCAGTCCGATGGTCATTGAGCTTCTCTGTTGCCACAAGAGTGTTTCTTTGTAGGACTTAGAAGTATGGTATTAGTATGGTAATCCTGGTTAAGCAGTCATTGCTCTGGCCTGGCGCAGCTATTTTTAAGCCATCTCAGATTCTGGCTAAAGGGTTTATTTGTTTTGGTGGAAGACACTTCCTTTATCAATTTGAGAAGACCTACCCTAGGGAGAATCTGAGACATCTTGCCTACTTTTCTTCTTCTAGCTCCCCCTTCATTCCATTTCTTATATAGTTTTCCTTTTGGGGAGCTGTTATGCCACAATTGCTGGTATTTATATAAAAGGATTATTACTAAGTTTATTTCTTTATGTTCATTCTGGTTAGGGGAATGTGGAGGGTGGGCCACCAAATTATCTGGACTAGGGGTAAATGGGTTGGAAAGCAAAAAACTGTGGGATGATGAACTTTTTCATTATGATTTAGTGATCACATGACTATAGAAGGCTGTCTCCAGTTCAGAGGCAGTCTTGCATACCAGATATATCCAAAAGAGACACCAGCATTGTGTTAAAAAGTTAAACCATGACTGGAGTGAACCATGTATTCCCTGGCCTTTTACTTTGTTTCTGTGCCGTTTATGTCTCATGTAATTTGCATTACATTGGTGGGTTGTTCTAGTACTGTATTTGGCTTCTTCTTTAATAGATTGATATTTCATATACTATAATTGTAAATATTTTGATACAAATGTTTATAACTCTAGGCATATAAAAACAGATTCTGATTCCCTATGCTGTGTGGGTGTTTTCTTTCTAAAAATGTACGACATTTCCCCCTAATTAAGTTGTCAGTCAGTTTGATTTGGACAACTTGGCATTTATCCGAGATAATAAGCTACTTTCTGGTAATGCATTAGGCATTTATACAATAACTCTTTCAGACAACTGAATGTTGCTATACTTTCATCTTGCTTTCATTAAGCCTTTTAAGCAAAAAAAAAAAAAGGAATTTCACAAACTATTAGAGAAAGGTTATTATCTTGAATTAGAATGGTTTATGATATTAAGAAATGAGACACTTGCTAATTTTCTTTGAAACAGCCAACTCCACTAATGTGTCTTCAATATATAAGGCAATTCACAAAGGTGTGTATGACATACATTTGCGTGAAGGCATTCATTGCACAACCTGGGATGTACCTGTAGGAAAGCTTTGAGGCTTTCTGGGTGCAGTGAGGACTGGAATCAAGGGTGGAAAGCAGAGTTGATGCTGCATACCCCAGTCTCATGCTGACACCAATAAGATGAGCGCTTTCAATGTGGAGTAGGCCATCTTTCAGTCCCTGGTAGCCTTGGATGAAATCACTGCACAGAGTAAAGCACACACACAAAAACCCCACAATGGAAGTTGAAAATAAGACTTTGACATATTTTAAATTAAATTAATCAAATTGCATTGATTATCGAAAGCCTCTTAGAGACCTATGTGCGTTGGTTCCAAAAGTTATCTTCCTAAGCTGATGGTCTGGAACTCACAGCTCATTGTCCACAGAGACAAATTGAAATGATCTTACTTATGATATGGGCTAAAATGACTTTTGTAAATCTAGCCTGGAAAATAAGTCTAATAATGATTAAACTATTATTGTTATCTTCAATGGGAAATGAGTTAGTCAGGTTTTGAAGCCTGGACCCCTCTTTTGCCTCTCCAGAACCTTCATCGCAAGAGGAGTGTATCTGATAGAGGCAGAGATGGGAAATGAATAGGGGTCAATCGCCAAGGGGGCATGGCTGCCTGGGAATCACTCTTACCTGGTCATGTCAGAGTTTGCCATTGAATACAGGAGAACGTGGTATGTAGCACGACTCTGACTGGCTTCAAATATATAATTTTTTTAAACTGGAGGTTCTTAAACTGGGACTGCTTGTTCTATTTTGCAACTGCATGATTTAGAATCAACCTTAATTTCCCCACATTTATTAGCATATCAATAGCTTAAATCCAGTTTACCTAGGAACATTAGAATGATTCCTATTCCTTGGTACAATAATTGACAGGCTTTTGGAAATGATGAAATCTTACTATTTTAGTTTGATTTCACAACATTCCCTTGCGCTCATAAAATAATTACAAAGGACACATATATCTATAATTTTGAAGATGAATCAAAAGTAAGCCTGTTTTGAGTATTTGAACGCAATTTGCAAGAGCTCTTAAGGTAACTAGGCCTTGCAAAATCAAGTTGGAGAATTATAGCACTGGGTTTTTGAATGTGATCGATCACACAAATGAATCAGATATTTGGGCACCTTGTTTTTAAAAAGCTAAAATCATTCTGGCAGTAATATTTAAATCCAGATTTGCTTCCATAAACCAAGTTGTCAAACTCACTTCAACGTGTCATACTTGAACTGACTTTACTAATTTCTTTCTGTAGAGTAGTTAACATTCTTTACCTTTCATTATGTTTACTGTTTGTCAGACACGTACACTTGGGGGTATAAAAGATTTTCACAAATGCTGGTCAGGGTCCTTGGCTAAGAGGAGACTCTGCCTTGGGCCCGCCAGTGTAATAAACTGCACTCCACTAAAAAAAAAAAAAATATCAGAGCTCCTGGAAAAAAAAAAAAAAAAAAATATCAGAGCTCCTGGAAGAACAGATAAAAGATCAATGCAGACAACTCTTTTTTTAAAAATTAATTTTTACTGGAGTGTAGTTGCTTTACAGGGCTTCTCTGGTGGCTCAGATGGGAAAGAATCCACCAGCAATGCAGGAGACCCTGGTTTGGTCCCTGGTTTGGGAAGATCCCCTGGAGAAGGGAATGGCTACCCATTCCAGGAGACTGCCATGGACAGAGGTGGACTACAGTCCTTGGAGTTGCAAAGAGTTGGACACAACTGCACACACACACAGCTGCTTCACAATGTTCTATTAGTTCCTACTGCACAGTGAAGTGAATCAGCATTGTGTATATGCATATCCCCTCTTTTTTTGGGTTTCCTTCCCGTTTAAGTCACCACAGAGCAGAGCAGAGCAGAGATCTCTGAGATCTATAGTCGATTCTACTTAAAGTGAAAGTGAAGTCACTCAGTTGTGTCCGACTCTTTGTGACCCCATGGACAGTAACCCACCAGGCTCCTCCATCCATGGAATTTTCCAGGCAAGAGTACTGGACTGGGTTGCCATTTCCTTCTCCAGGGGATCTTCCCAACCCAGGGATTGAAATTGGGTCTCCCGCATTGTAGGCAGACGCTTCACCATCTGAGCCACCAGGGAAACCCAGGTTCTCCTTAGTTATGTATTTTATATTTAGTATCAGTGGTGTAGATATGTCAATTCCAATCTCCTGACCCACTTGCCCCCTTGGTATCCATACATTTGTTCTCAATGTCTGTGTCTCTCTTTCTGTTTTGCAAATAAGACCATCTACACCATTTTTCTAGATTTCACATGTATGCATTAATATATGATATTTGTTTTTCTCTTTCTGACTTGCTTCACTCAGTATGACAGTTTCTAGGTCCATTCATGTCTCTGCAAATGATGCAATTTTATTCCTTTTATGGCTGAATAATATTCCATTGTATATATGTACCAAATCTTCTTATCCATTCATCTATGTCCTGTCTATTGTGAATAGTGCTAAATGCAGACAACTCTTAATTGCAGACAACTCTTAACTTCATTTCAGTCACTCATTCCCATTTTCCTTGAACCTTCCCATTCCCACCTCTAGTTTTTTAATTTCATGCTATCTTAATTCCTTAAGGATACTTTTTTGCACATCCCTTCTTCCTGTTTCTCCAACCTCTCTCTCTCTCTTTACTGGAAATGTTCTCTTGTGGATAAGATATGTTCAATTTTTTCTTGTCGTAAGCAAAAGAAAACAAAACATTCTTTTCTACCCTAGTACTTTACCTCTTGCTGTCTGTGGGGCCCCAAGCTGAGAGTACAAACGGAGGTCTGCACACCTTGCCTGAATATTTATTTAGCTGTGCTTTGTGGCTTGTGGGATCTTAGTTACCCAACTAGGAATTAAACTGCCCTTGGCAGTGAAAATGTGGAGCCTTAACCACTGGACTGCCAGAGAATTCCCATGTTTAAGTATTTAAATATTACAGATCAAGTCAACGAGCTGCTAAATAAAGAGTGTGTTCTATGGGTCTACCTTGGTAAATATATGTCTAGAAAGTCAGGATCAGGTTTAGAATCGTCAGAGTCCTTGAGGTCCTGGGGTAGAACGGGGTTTTGCAGAGGAGGCTTGGTGCTCGGTCTCTGCTTCCCAGCCTGCCTTCCTTACCCCTCACTTACGGCTCCATCCGTCATCCTGAGGGACCCTGAGTGCTTGACTGCGGAGATCCTGGCCCACACATCCAAGTCCGGCCTTCCTCTCCTCCCCACCCTGCAAATGGCTGCCCCTCAGCCAGTTCTTGGGCCAAGAGCATGCACACTCGTGACATGGTCCGGCCTCTGTATGGAGTAGACTTGAGAGGAAGCACAGGGCAGGGAGGCTAAACAAGTGAGCTCGGGGACTCTGGGGCAGGGAACTTGGGGTCCTGAATAATCAGAATATAATCTGGAAGGAGAGTGTGGGCTCCCCCGGGAATGCTCCTTTAACTCCAAGTCCAAGGACTTCTTGTCGATGTAGACATGTGGCTAGGGGAGGGGCAGACAGAGCCATAATACACTGGCCTGGGAAAGGCCTTCCCACCTGATCTAAGGGCACTGGTTTTCCAGCCTGACTCCTCATTCACTTTTTTACAGCCTCATTCAAGCCAATCTGCTTCTCCCCTCCTCATTCTGAAACAATTGGTCTCCTATGGGTCAACGGATCCTTTAGATTCTCTAGTCCAGTGAACAATCTTTTTTTGTTTGTTTAGTCAGTTTTCCTTGACCCCCTGTTCCTTCTATCTCTGTATTCTGCATGAGAGACTTAATTAAAACTCATACACTGAATCACCACTGATCTTGTAATGATTTCAAAATCTGCATCTTGACTCAGACCAATTTTCTGGCTCCAGTCCCACAAGCACCAAGAATTCGACAGAACCCAGTATGTTCCGCCCCCTTGTGTGTCCCTAGTCTCAGGAAACAACCTCCCATCGCTTAGATGCTCTTAGATGCTAGAAACCCGAGTATCATTCATGATTCCGCCTTCGCCCTCATTCTTTACATCTAATTAGGAACTGTATCTTGTTGATTTTAATTCCTAAATATTTCTAGACTCTTTCCCTTTATTTCTAACCATTTTGCTGTGATATTAGTTTAGACCTTTAATAGCACTTATTTAAAGTAGCTGAAAAGTCTCTTAAGAATTCACGGCTCTAACTCATTTTCCACTCTGTTGCAAAGATGATTGCTTAAAATGCAAATACCATCGTGTTCTTCCCCTGCTTTTAATCCTTCCTTGGTGCCTTCATGTTGTTCATGATAAAATTCAGAACCCGTCCATCACCACCTTCCCCCCACGCCCCAACCTCATTCTATCCTGGAACTAAAACGTACTACTTACTCCACGCTTTAGGGACTCTTTCACCATGCTACTCTCTTTTCCCTCCTTCCTTCTGATTCCTCGAGACTCAGCATATTCCTCATCTCTGGAAGAGCGGCCAGGCAAGCCCCAGGCCCTCCTGGGATGCCCTTTGTCACTGCCTCCCTAATACCCTGTGCATATTCCATCAGAATGGTTTTCACAAACTATTTTAATTGTGGGTTTAACTGCACGGCTTCCTTTCGAGGGCAGGGAATCCACCTATCATTTATTACTGTCAGCATGTAGCACTCTGCCTG